GACTTTATTGTTGAGGCATTGGAGAAAGGTGAGATTTTAAGTGGACGGGGACTTAATCAAGAAACGACCCTTCAGCGCTCTGGCGATACACGATGGAGTTCACATTATAATTCTTTGGTCAGTTTGCTTGCCATGTTCTCTTCTGTTGTAGATGTACTCGCAATAATTATTGAAGATGAGTCTTGTTCTTATGATCAAATATCTGATGCAACAAATTTATTGGACTTGATACAAAGATTTGATTTTGTATTTAATCTACAGTTGATGAGAAGTGTGTTGGCGATTTCAAATGAACTGTCAAAGGCATTGCAAAGAAAAGATCAAGATATTGTGAATGCAATGCAATTGGTTAGATTGTGCAAACGACGACTCCAAATAATGAGAGACGAAGGGTGGGACTCCTTTTTGGAAGAAGTATGCTCTTTTTGTCAAAAACATTATATTCATGTACCCAACATGGATGATATGTTTGTACGCCTTGCAATTCGTGGTCGCCCTCAGCGTAATTCTTCAGAAATTACAAATTTACATCATTATCGAGTAGATTTGTTCTATTCTGTCATCGACTTACAACTTCAAGAATTGAATGATCGTTTCTCAGAGGTAAATACAGAGTTACTCCTTTGTGTAGCTTGTTTATGCTCACAAGATTCATTTTCTTCTTTTGACAAGAAAAATTTGATTAGACTTGCTGAGCTTTATCCATTAGATTTCTCTGCAGTAGATTGTATTGTACTTAGCGATCAACTTGAGACTTATATTTTTGACATGCGCTCTAACAAAGAGTTTGAAGGGTTGAATGGCCTTGGTGATCTTGCGAAGAAGTTAGTTTTGACAAAGAAAGATAAGGTATATCCATTGGTTTACAGACTTTTGACTTTAGCATAGATTTTACCGGTTGCTACCGCTACTATGGAGAGAGTTTTTTCTGCAATGAGCATCGTAAAGAATAGATTGCGCAATCGGATGGGTAATCAGTGGATGAATGATAGCACTATTGTTTATGTAGAGGGAGATATATTTTTGAAGCTCGATAATGAAGTTATTGTACGACGATATCAAAATATGAAAACTCGCAAGGAACAAATTTAATAAATAAATTATGTCGTTTTTGGTGTTGTTGTAATATTGTTTTATTTTTTTATCATCATTACATCTACGACCAAAACCTCGAAGTTCGGCGTTGAAAAATGATGCCCGCACTGGACGTAAATCCTGGCTCCGCCCCTGTTTCCGTCTCACAAAGATTAGCTTATTTATTTTTGTCGTTTAAAGTTATAAGTCACTTTTCTTGTAAGAAAATAATTAACTTTTTAGTTTTCTAATATATCCATATTTAATATGTCCTTTTGTTAGAAAATATAAATTACTCTTATGGGGATCATTATTTAGCCTTTGTTTGCGACACACACATATATATATGGATCAATCTACCAGTACCTAATGCCCTACCGAAAATGTTACATAATGCTGACGTGGCGGTAACTTTGAAATTCAAAATCTCGTCTGATGAGCAGTGAAAAAGAAGAAAAAAGGCGCCTCTGTTTCCCCTGCATATTTTCCCCCCTTTCGAAACTATAAAAGTTTTCATCCCAAATCCAAAATCAAATCTGAACCAAATCCATTCCACGGTGCAGGCAACTTCGACGTCGGTGGCGACATGATGAAGAACCCGAGGCCGATGATGCCATAGGTCGAAGGTGAGCAATTTTGTGATGAAGCCGACAGCTCCCGAGGCGACGACCTCGACGTCAATGACACCATGGGTAAGATTATTTCGAACTTAATTTTCAGCTTCCCTATTTGTTATATTATTTTCATATTTAATTTTCAGCTTCTTTATTTCGAACTTAATTTCCGACCAAGTTAGATATGGAAATCGAAACTGCTTATGCGAAGTTAATTTTCGACCAACTTAAATTTCAGCTTCCTAAACTGTTCATGAATGAATTCAGTTTTAAAATTGACTGAGTAGAAAATGAATGCTTATGCTCAGTTAAAGCCATCTACGTCTCACCTCCAGTCAATGTTCAGGTAATTGACCAAGAGATTTACATAGACCAACTTACCTAAGTTGAGGTTGAAATGTTTGTAAATGACATTATAAATTTCATTTGTAGGAAGTTCGCATGACAAACACTGTCCATTCCCAACATGTGGGCACACAGGAGAGTATAGGAGATTTTGACTGCCGGGTATAAATCGAACGGTGGAACTGATTTTCAGTTGTTGATCATGTTCTTAGTTGGGGCAGTTATTGCTATGGGAAGCTCTCGGATTTATCATGTATTGATGTATGTTTGAAGTGTGAGAAAATCGTTGATTAGTTTAATAGTTTGATGCAGTCGAAATCATTTTAAATTTGGTAATTTTGCATCTCATCACTGATTGTATTAGTGATAATAGTGTGATGTATTGTTATCTTTTTAAATTTGAGATTGTTTGACAGTGCAAGTGTTTTCCAATCAGAATTTGATCCTTCATTATTTTACTAATAATTGAACAAGAATCATTGCTGCATTCTTTAGTGCTTGTGTTGAGGAAACTTCGTTAGGAACCCACGATCTTGCTTTTCTGCTGCTTCTTAATTTTGATTTTGTTTGAGTTAAAGAAGGTTCCTCACCACAAGACATGCTCAAGTCATTATTGAATCATATCTTAGGATAAAATTCACGATGACTGCAGACCAGGAGGAAAGCTGCAAATATCTTTAGAATATGTTATATAGGTGTGCTGGAAATGAAACACACTGGGGAAATAACTTGTGCTGGAAACAATTCGAGAACAAATGTGCCAAATACACTGATGAATCATATCTTAGGTGATAAGTGAGAGAGATAACGTGGCCCGCAATTTGAGAATAAGACCAAGTCAATCAATGGAGCTATTGAGTAGATTTTGTTTCTTGTTTTGCATGTGAAGTGGAGTCCAAAATTCCAAGGCCATGCATTCATGCACGTTGAAGCCAAAACCAAGTCCATGCAATTCCTGTTGGCACGTTGCAGCAGTTAATTAGTATTAGAGTTAGGATTTGTTTTTCGTTTGTTTAGTTTGCTTTAAGGTGTGTTTGATTACATTTATTTTCCATGGAAAATATTAGTTTTCCACCTAAATTTCTATTTGGAGTGTTTGATTGCTATTTTTTTTCCATGGAAAACATTTTCCAACTTTTGAAAATATGTCTAATTTTTCTTGTTTTCAAGGAAAATATTTTCCTAGGGGAGAGGTGGTTTTTATTTTCCACAAAAGATAGAAAACATTTTCTTTTTTAAGTAATATTTTTCATGTCAATCAAACACACTCTTAGTGTATATCCTCCCACGATTTCCTAGACGGCTAAGATGTGTAGCAATAGTTTAGGAAAAGTGGATGAGTTGTGGTTTATTTAAAGAGCCAACGTGAATAATAAAGTGTGTGAAATATTTATCCAAAAAGTGTCTACTTGTGGTTCAATTCTCACCCCAAGAGAATTACTTGTGGTTTATCTCTCACTCGAAGAGAGTTTATTGCAATTGTTAACTTAGCAGCTGACTGAGACCGCATCATTAGGATACAATCACAAAGTGATACCATAACTACGTTGAAATAAACTACATTATTACAAGGTTCAAATTACATATTCAAACACCAAAATGTTATAAAAAGATAAAACCAAAAAGCTAAAATCATCTAAATACACATAATTCATATTAAATCTTCTGAAACTCGTTTTCCCTTGCTCATGGTTATGTTCAATGAAATCTCCAAGTCCCTTTCCTCGGTTATTTTTGCACACACTTTCAACATACGGGACAATTTGTGGAAGGGTTCACTTCCTTTAGTAGTGCCACTTGATTCACCTTGCAATGAATACTCTTCATCAGGTGAAACGTTGCAAAACTTGAAAAACATAAAGTCGTGGGTACAAGATTGGAACAACTTCCCTTGATTCTTGGATTTTTTTTTTTTGTACCTCCAACCATCTACCGAACCCCTCTCCACAGTTTGGACATCTCTTTTTGAGGCATTCGAGCATCATGTGTCCTGCCCCTCTGCAAGAATGACAAATTCCTCTGTTCTTCTCGGCCATGATCAATCCTAAATCATTCACAAAAATATTACTGCTTAAGAACCTTCAAATTGTACATATATGAAAAATCACTACATATATCCACACCAACAGAGGGCTAGATTTTTCATAACCCCTCAAACGTTTAAATCCTAAGTTATCTTAGGGGCAATCATTTCAGCATCATCTTATCTAAATATCTTCTATGCATATAAAAAAGTTAAAAATTCATAGCAAAATTTGAAACAAAAAATCCAGCATCATCTCACGTTTTCTTGTATGAACATCCCACCTAATCATACAAAATTTGAAAACAAAACGTATTTACAAATTGACGAAATCATTCAAATTCTGTTCATTGCAAAAACGGGGGACTGATGGACGATTAAGACGTTGGGTCTAGGTTCACAAAATACACCTCGGCTAACATTAAATCCAGCCTACAATGCACATGTCAAATTTGAAGCAAATCGATATTGCACCTCACAAATACACCACGGTTCTTTTATATTTGTGGAGATCTAGATTGCAGACACATATACTGTAGTAATATTAAAATAAATATACAATGGATATCAGATTTGAAGATCTTAACCTCAAGGTTGCCTTCGTCTTTCTCGTTTTCCTAGATTTCTTCGTTCGAGGTACGAAGACTGAATCGAGGGTTAGAGAGAGAGAGATAGTGACTTTTGTGATGCCGTCGTCTTCCCCGTTGAATGAATCGTTCTAACTCGTTCGAGATTTTAACTGACGACTTGAAGGAGCTCTTCACTAAATCGAGGGTTACAAAGAGAAAGAGGGGGAGGGGGGGAGAGAGAGAGAGAGATAGTGACATTGTGATGCCATCGTCTTCCCAAATCTGAACCGGCGAGATGGAGGAGTCTTCGTTGAGGGTTAGAGAGACTGAGAGAGTGATTTTGTTTCGCCTGGGTTACAGACAGAGAGTTTGTTTTGAAAAAGAAAATTATAAACTATTCAAATGATATTTTGATCAGATTTTGTAAAGTGACGTTTTTTTGAATTCAAAATACCGCCACATTATCAGGGTGAAAACCATTCGGGACGGGGTTATGTACGTTATGTCAAATAAGGTTACCCGCAATTTTTGACAATTTGAAGACAGAGTAACCTTTCTGCCCTTAACATTTCATTAATTTTTCATGAGACAAGTGCATTTTTGGTATTTAATTTTGAGACAGTCCAAAATTGCAGCCAAAATGGGACTCATGTTCATCTGTAATGGGAGAAAAAATGCTACAAATGGGAAAAAAAGCTCTCCCAAACAAAGGCTTAATGTAAGAGTATATTATGATATATGTAAAAAGAAATTATATTTTCAACTATGTTAATTACACTTTTTTTTTTATCTAAAAACGAAAGCAAACCTATCCTTGGAATGGAAGGAGTAAAATAAAGGGTAATTGGCACAAAACGCCCATACCTTTCAAATTTATTGTGGAAAACGTCCCTACCTTTAATTTTTTGGTATTTTTGCCCTTACCTTCCACATTTCTTTGCGCTGAACGTCTTTTTCACCAAATTTTAATATAAAATAACTAAAATACCCTCCCATTTAAATAAAACAAAAAAAAAAGAAAAGAAAAATGAAAAATAAAAAATAAATTATAATCTTGCTCCTAAATGTTTAAAAAATTGTAAGTGTGGTCAAATAATTATTAAAAGGCCTAATAGCACAAAACGTCCTTACTTTTCAAATTGGTGAAAAATGACGTTTTTCGCAATGAAACATGAAAATAGGGATAAAAATGTAAAAAATTGAAAAGTAGGGACGTTTTCCGTAAGAAGTGTCGAACATAGGGGTTTTTTTTGCTATTAAACCTTATTAAAATATTAAAAATAACAAAACTCTCTCTCTCTCTCTCTCTCTCTCTCTCTTCTTCTCCAAATTGGTCAGCCATCTTAAAAGTCAAAAAACTCCAGCAAACCACTATCCAAACTGTTGGACCATCATACCACCGAAAAACTTTCATTTCTCTTTACACATACCACCCAACATCCAACTTTGAAACTTTCATATTAATAGATTTGTTCGGAATTGCAAGCCAAAATACCTAACTAGTGATTGCAAATATTGGGGACATTACTTGTTCTAGAGAGACCCATGTCATTTCCAACACACCAATTGACTATACTCACTAGGGTGCCTGCATCTCTTTATGGTCTTAAAATATCAACAGATGGTTCAGCGGCATGGAGGTTTGGCGGTTTGGGCGTTGGTTGATCGGAGTTTTTTCATATGGCAGTCCTATTTGGAGGAGAAGAGAGAGAGAGCTTTTTTTTCTTTTTCTTTTTTTTAAAATAAGGCCTAATAGCAAAAAAATTCCTACATTTGACACTTTTTGCGAAAAAGGTCCCTACGTTTTAATTGTTTTACATTTTCATCCCTATTTCCATGTTTCATTGTGGAAAAACGCCATTTTCAACAATTTGAAACGTATGAACGTTTTGCGCACTATAGGCCAAACGTAGGGGCGTTTTGTACCATTAGGCCTTTTAATGATTATTTGGATTAATTTGTACTTTTTAAAACATTTAGGAGTAAGATTATAATTTATTTTTTATTTTTCTTTTCTTAAGATTATAATTTATTTTTTATTTTTCTTTTCTTTTTTTGGTTTTATTTAAAAGGGGGGTATTTTGATCATTTTATGTTAAAAATTGGTGAAAAAGATGTTCAGCGCAAAGAAATGTGGAAGGTAAAGGCAAAAATGTCAAAAAATGAAAAGTATGAATGTTTTCTACAATAAATTTTAAAAGATAGGAACATTTTGTGCCAATTATCCTAAAATAAAATAGAGTTTGACTGTTCAAATGTGGAGTTAAAGACACTTGTTATTTTAAAAAAGTATATAAAAAAATTTTGGAGCACAATTTCATGATTAGACAATTTAAAATTAAAAAAAAATTCGCTTTTAAAGATTGTCTTGAAGATGTTTTGAGTAATTTAAAAGGTTTTGGAGGGTAATTTGGTCAAGAAGCTTAACACGTGTTAACTTAAATATATCTGCAATCACACATGGCGCTTTTCAAGACAGACTCGCATGCAATTGGACACATATATAAATGTCATAAATCAAATTGGGAAGGGTGTTTTTGGCATTTGAGCACGCACTTAAATGTGTCTCACCAACTTAGACGTCATTCTCACCAGCTAACGAACCATCCACCACTCGCGGGCCTTCTGCTTACGGCGCGTGGAGTGTGTGATTTACCAAAGGGCCCAGGCTCTAAGCACGAAGAATTAAACGTGTAATGTAGCCTTTTTTATTTTGTAAAATGGGATGGAAATGAATATTTCAATAAATTGTTTCCAAGGTTACGCTATTTTTAATTTTTACATGTTTATGCTATGATTTGTTCTTGTAATTAATGAAAAAGAAGAAATCAATTTACCTATTGCTGAAAATTTTACAATGCTACGGCCTCGTTTGGGAGCGATTTTCAAAATTGATTTTTTGATCGTTAGAAAAAAAGTTGGACCACTTGTGAAAGAAGTCAAATTTTACGACTGAAATAGTCAAATAACGATCAAAAAATCAATTTTTTGGGTGAAAAATCACTCACAAACGACCCCTTAATTAGACTATGGACTTGTTCAGTAGTGATTATGAAAGTTGATTTTTTGACTGTTAGAGAGAAAATTGGGTCTCACATGTAAGAGAAGAAGTAAAAATGACCGCTAACCTAGGAAAAGTAACTGTCAAAAAATTGATTTTTCCTGATGAAAAATTAGAGCCATACATGCACTATAATCAAGACATCCAAACAAGAACTGTGCTTGTTACATTAAGTCCTTGAGTGATTTAGTTGAAAATTAAATTTTTAATAGATTTTGATAAAATTTATGAAATATGTGATTGAAAAATTGATGAAAGATGTAAATTCTATAAAATGTATGATTGAAAATAAATTTTAAATAATGAAGATCATACAGAACTATGAAAGTTAATTACTTCAACGAAGTTGTGTAATATGTTTTTTAGTTAATAATGTGATAGGCATGTGCTTAAAGAGTCAACACAGCATATAGCAGTGTAAAAATCTTCTCTACATTGAAATATATTAAAGTTGCATATCTTTGTACAACTGATAATCACATATTTTGCAAAATTTTAATTCAGTAATAACCTTTTCAAACGTCCCATTTAAGAATTTCTACTTTAATTTTATTTTAAGAAAATCACATGCCTGACTTTTTCAAAAAAGAATAATTGTGTTGAAATATAAACTAAAAATTATTTATTAAATTACCGAAGTGAAATGTTAGAGCAAACACAAGAAAGCGCGTGAGAATAACAAATATAAAAAATTTAGTTATTTTTAGAAAATCATTTATTTCTTCTCCATCGATAGATGATTCTCTATACAAAGTAACCTCAATTTCTACTCTTTCTCCTTCACATCTTCGTTCTTTTGCAAATCGATCATCTCTCATTCTCAAGCTTCTCAATAAATCATGTTACTATTACTCTTTATACTATGGATGGCAGAACTTTTCATATACCATCTTACTATCAAATTCTCACTAATTATAAGACCAAGATTAAATGGTTTTATGGAAAATAGTAGCATCTCTTTCACCTGTAATGCAACTAGTTATCGCATGTATAACTCTCTCTCTCTTTCCATAAATCATAAAATTCTCGTACAACCATATAATTTTCATTATAAACATCCAAAATGTCTAGCTAAAATCACCACTATCACCGACATATTACCACCATTTTACAGCTTGTAGAGACATAAAGAGTATTTTTGTGTTCAAAGGAGACACTAGACTAGCATAGACGACGCATAAGACAATGTCTCCACATCAAACTCAAAATTTAAGGAGGGGTTTCTAGTTATGTTTTGTTATTCCTAAACTTTGTTATGTTTCCTTTGGTAGTATTACATAATGATCAAAATATTAATTTCTATTTAATTAATCATCGTTAGTGTCATGTGTTTTGCAAGATATGTTTATATATAATAGCTTGACTTTAATTGCTGGCAAGTGGCGGTGCCAAAGTTGAAAGAAACGCACAACACGTATAAAACTGTTTTTTTTTTTTTTTGTTATCATATGAATTGTCGAAAATCTATATTCATGACAATTTGCAACCATGCCAATCGAGGCCTTAAAATTTGGTCTCGATATGCATTTCTTGACTATTATTTCACTATTTCAGTTGTATTTTTTAAATTCTTCTCTCGTAGATATGATTCACTTTATCTCTAATAGTCAAAAAATCAATTCTCAAAATCCATACCAAATAAGCACATAAGGATTGAGTATATTGCTTATTTGCAAAAATAAATTTTTTGACACGAGATAAAAGTGGAGTTGAATTTAAAAATCAACAATGAAATTCAAACTCACAAGATTGCCGCCATTTACGTTACCATTTTTATTACCGTACATTGTATTCTCAAAGCTGGTAATACGTAAATATCATTCATGGGTACGCTGTCCGAAGGAGCGTGGTTCTTAATCACCGTCCTCGTACAATCCTTATTAACGACGAACAACCCACAGCCCTTTAAAATAGAATATAGCGACACTGTTTTGTACTTTTCTCTACTCTGACCTTCAGTGCGTGTAATTTCACCAAACGAATTTTGAACATTTTCGAAGTTTTCCCTTTTGTGATCACGAACATCCAACCTCCTCCCTCCCCCCACCCCCCAACACCCCCGCCTTCGCTATTTAAATTAAATCCAATTCATGGATCACACAATCTTAAGTTCTTCTCTTACAAGGATTTCTCTGCATCCTTCAGTATTTTTTCTTATTCAGCTTTTTTAATGGTTTCTTGAAACAGTACCAGTGGCCGAAGCAAAACCCTTTATGAAGCTTGCAAATTTCTGTGCATTGATTGCAGCCTTTTGGATTCCTCTGGAATCTTGAAGCAAACTGGAACCGCCCATCTTGTTTTCTCTGGATTTTGGTACTGAATTTCCCTGTTAATAAGTTGGAATCCTGCCTTTTTTTTTTTCGAATTCTCTTGTTCATTTTTTCTTCAAATTTGTTCTAGAATTTTTGGAGTTCCGATCATGGAACGTTTTATGCGGCAAAATTGGGATATATATAGACAGCAACCTCCTAGGAGAAGATCACAGTACAAGAAGTCAACCTGGGGTACTAATTTTCATGGTTTCTATTGTGTTTATTGATTAATTTATGTTTTCATTTTATAAAAATATTCATGTCATACAATGTAACCCAATTTAGTTGAGATGCCTATGTATTTTCTGTTTATCTTTTGTTGTTTTATGTTATTGATGCCTATGGTCCACAAAGGTTGAAATTTTCAACTTTAGTTGAAAGGAGGGTTCAAAATCTGCATATAACAAGTCATGTTATTTTGTGATTTCATTGCTTTTATTTTAAGTTATGAAATGTATATTCTGATTTTGATTTATTATTCTTTTTTGGCTGCTATAAATTCAAGCTCTTTGATATTTTTATTAATATACATGTTGGTTTATTAATATTTTTCCCTAGTTTTTGGTTTTTATTTTTTATTTTTTTTTTCTGATTAGCCTATTAAACTTTCGAATGGAAGTTGACAATAGCCTCTCCTTAAGTGACGAAGATGGAGGCCTTAGGACTAAGAGGTCCTAAGGTTCAAGTTCCAGCAAAATGTGTGTTCTTTTTTGTTACTTAGTTAATCGTCCTATTATTGCATTGGTTTGTGTATTATTGTTCTCACTATGAAAATATAAAATATTCTCGATTTTCGACTTTTTCATCATTCCGCCTCTTGAATTGTGCTGTTGACTATAATTCTCTCTTGTGTCCGTTTGATTATAAAAATGAAATTTAGGTGGAAAGAAAACGAATTTCAGGGAATTCAATTGCCTAGAACTTGTTTTATTGTGAATTGTCAATTAAATGTGTTTGATTAGTATAATTTTCCATCTGAAAAATATTGAGATTTTGGATATTTTGATGTTTATTTGACTTTGTTTTCTATCAAAACTATCAATTAAAGGGATATAATTTGTTTCAAAAAAAAATAAAAATAAAACCTGGAAAACCAAAAATCAAGAAAACCAATTCCTGAAAATGGTGGAAAATGGAGTGTTGCCAAGAAAACCAATCGCCAAGAAAATTTGGCCAATCAAACATGCAAAAAGGTTGAAAATGGAATTTAATTTCCTACTTCCATAGAAAGTTTTTGCAATGAAACAGGGCCTTAATTTATTTGCAATTTACTATATTTTCCATGGCCTTTGTGGAAACTGATCTTGAAACTTATTTATGCAGTTGGCTGGCAGCCTGCAGTACATTTATGGGAGAAAGAATTCTGCAAAGTGGTCGGTTCGCTGGACTGGGAAATGTTTTTGCGCAAGAAGAAGTTTGTTCACCTATATGAGAATGTGATCAACTGGGATGACTCTGAAGGTAAAGAGGCATTTGAAAATGCCAAGACACGATTCTGGTCGGAAAAACATGGTGTTCCCTGTGAAATACCATTGCCTGATCCTGATCTTTACATAGACGAAATAAATTGGGATTTGGAAAAGGATATCGAGCTGCCATCTGACCTTGACGTCGATCCTGTGTTTCCTGATCCGGATGAAAACCTTGAGCCAGCCGTTATTTTTGGAGATTCGTTCTTAGTTAACCAAGCATCTTCACCCACTGACTGGGGTGACTATGAAAAGACTAATCATGTGGATCCATGGGAGAATAATTGGGGCAATGCATTTCCTAATGGAGCTCCGATTGGATTCACAGGATTTTGTAATAATGCTAGGAATTTCAATGGCGGAAGTGGGTATGCACCGTGGATAGGTGGTTGGAATAATACATGGGGATGGAATTATGCTCATTACCCTTACAATTATGGAGTCGAACCTGCAAATGTTTACGACAGGAGCGCTAATGAAGGGCAAGGAATATGTGACGTGAACACTGCTGCGCAGGTCAATGCTGGTAATTACGTCTGGTGGAACAATGAGGGACAACAGAGAGCAACATATAGGAGAAATCTCGAATGCTGATGAAGTGCCGACTTTAGGAACTTTAGGAGGGTGGAACTCGATTAATTCATGTGGACCGGTTACTCAACAGGCTGCAAATAGCTGTTGGAAGAATGTGGAATTAGGAAGATATCTTTTAACTGGATGCAGAGCGGAATGAGTCACTAATTTCTTTCTATTGTCTTATTTATGCATATTTGGAGCTTCTGCTGAAGGATTACTCTAAAATTTTGAATATAGTTTTCTGATTTTGCTGAGGTTGTATCGTAAGTTGACGAGTTATTGTTCATCTATTAGTGCTTTTTGCATTTTCTGCGTATAAAAAGTGAGTATTAAATAGCTGTTCAAGTATTTTTCTTTGGACCGAGCTACACGAACCGTAGGGATGACCGCAAAGATAATCGCATACACACACATGGCGGGTCGGGAATTTTAAATTCTGGCAGGAACCCCCCTCAACCATGTGAGAGAGCGGTAAGCCATTGTGTCAACCTCTATGATCGTTTAGCTTAATTCTTTTTCTTTTCTCCATGTATTCAATTTTGTTTCTGAAATACCGGCACTAAATCAGAATCGAGATTCTCACCAGATGCTGGCCTAAAGAAACGAAAGAATATATTTTTTTCATTTGTTCTTATGTTGATTTCTTGTTATGGTAGATACCTTTTTAGTCCTTGTTTGATGGTCATTATTTGGGGGTTTCTATGTTTTTAATAGTAAATGTTTGGAGAATGTGTAGTAAAAAGTAGAAAAGAGTTTTGGGTTTACGTGCAGAATATTTTATTGTCTGAATTTGGGATCGAAAATGAGTATATAGAAAAAAGTTTTGAAATAAAAGATGTCAAACGGAGGCTTAGTAAGACTATAGTAGAAGTTAAAAAAGGAAGCCTTAAAATTTTTTTTTTATCGGTAAATGTAAATTTCATATACAAGTACATCGGGCATACTCGGGCAAAAACAAAACCAATGTTACATACAATTACTTCGAGTATACCCGAGTGACACAATAATAAGTGAAGTACAACGAAAATCAATGACCCAATACTAAGGATTCGAAATGTATCAAGACAATCGAATACAAAGAGAACATATATTTGTATACGTGTGTCTTGATTCATCTCACAACACAATCCAAGTGAGGTGAAAGATTTTCAAAAATCTTCCTATTACGCGCTAACCAAATGTAGTAGACGGTATTTGTAAGTGCAGTCCTCTTTTAGACTTGTTGAGCCATGATGTCCCACAAGCCTCTTTTTTCATTCACTTCAAAGCACTGACAAGTGTAGACAAAGATTTTTTTATGCCAAGCCACTGTTTGATCTTTCCCCATAAGGTGGAGGTGATTGTACAATTGAAAGAAGAGGTGCTTGCTTGTTTCCACATTATGTCCATAAAGAACACAATTTCGGTCAATGTCCAAGTATTGCAATTTTTCTTTAGTAAGGAGTTTAAATTGAACTCCAAACCAAAGCAAAAATAGCTAAAGGAATAAGTTTAAATAGGGAACAGGCCATTGCTTGGATTTTTCACTATTGTTGGACCTTATTGATTTAAAACAAGAGCCTGAATAACAACTTTCATAGATAACTCACAATGTTGTGTCACATTCTCACTTCTAAAATTTAGATTTTTTATCGGGTTAATATGTAAATTTCTATCTTTTGCATTTAATTACTATATCACCAATCGATATGCAGAATAGTGAATAGGGAAAGAAGCAGGTGACCTGGTTCTAACTTCTCCGATGGTGGTGGTGGTTCTCAAAGCGATATTATCACGCGACGGAGTTGTCTTACCTTCCGAGCATTTATCTTTAACAAAATGGAAGGGTAATATCATTTCCCTTAAAATGAGGGCATAAAATCTCCATTATTGTATATTTAAATTTTATACTTTATCCTATAAATTAGTGTTTACGCAAAATAAGTTTGTAATACCAAAAGATTCAAAAAAAACCAAGGTAATCACAAAAATTGGGCTTTAAGGGGGAGGGTAGCAGGTGCGAAACCTAATTACCATAAAATCTTTTCTGACCCAACAAAACACATAAAATACAATTATTCCAACAGAGCCAAAGGTAACATCTTAATCCAGAAGCAGTTTCAGACTCAGAATTCTTGCCAACGGATTTAAAGATGAGTGACACAGAGCCTGCCCAATTGAGAAGTCTACAAAAGCTCAATGACAATAATTGAAATTAACACACAAGTGACCAAAATAGCTATATAATTGAACGAACCAATCAGACATTTAAAAATAACTACAAGTTCCAATATCAGTTTGTACTGGTTACTTCGTCCTCCCAAATTATAAATAAAATCCGTTATTCGTATTATGAAGCTATACATCATGTACAAAGATGTTGTCTACAACATTTTCTTTTCAATTCTATTTTTCTCATAATAACATAACCTATTGATGTGTTTCAATTTTCAACATACCAAATACTTGAGCCTCTTTGGGGTTTTATATTTTCTTATGTTAACATACTTTCCAAAAGTATACGCCTCCTAAATGGGACAATCATTCCTAATTGCTCAATTTTTGTTTGAAATTTTTTTATTAGAATTAAATATTATCACGCTTCAAATTTGCCATAAATTTATCAAATATAATTATAAATAATTGTTTTCCAGGACTTTAATTCGAGTTAGAGTATTTAAAGCTTGTGTGTGAGATATTATTGATCTCTTTTATCATTAAATGCATCTATATAAATTATCTTTTGAGCTTGTGGTTCTAATTATCTTTTGTGAGGATTTAGATAATGACACATTTGTATATTATTTCTAACTTCTTAGTTCATTACCCTAATGTTGAGAGAATTGTCCAAACAAATTGAAAATCAGCAAATCGCTTTATAAAATATATAAAGATTCAAATTACTTATTTTTCTCAGCACTCTTTACTTTCCATCTCAGTGCATTGTGATGGATCAATTTTACATTTACTGCATTATCATAATAATTAGATGGAAAATTTAGGCTTTGACCATAAACTAATTATAACAGGGAGAATTATGATGTTAGTATGATGTGTTATTCCTTAAACAGAAATTTGAAGTATTATACTCTCAATTAAATTAATTAAATGCATTTAACAATTAATACTATTAAACCCCAACTAAAACTTATGTTGAGATAGGTTTCACTAGTATTAGCAAAGCTTTAGATATAAAATGTTGTAAGGGTAGTATTAAAATCATACAAGATAAGCTGGATATAATCACATTTATTACATGCATATCAAATTTCATGCATTGTCAAACTAGTAAAATAAAGACTTGTTTACATCCATCATATGATAATAATACAAGATTTTGCGAAATTTATTATGTAAAGAGTAGTGCATTTAATATTACGATTTTACTTTTTTCTATTTTCATTTCGCATAAGTATATATTTTCAGGTGTTCGGATTCTAAATCCAGAAACTTCAGATTTCTCTAGTAGATACAAATTTGATAAGATTGTATCCTTTTATTTGGGCAATCATATCTTCGATGGATATGCATCAACGAATTTACTTTGATATCTTCGTTATTCGTATTATGAAGCTATACATCATGTACAAAGATGTTGTCTACAACATTTTCTTTTCAATTCTATTTTTCTCATAATAACATAACCTATTGATGTGTTTCAATTTTCAACATACCAAATACTTGAGCCTCTTTGGGGTTTTATATTTTCTTATGTTAACATACTTTCCAAAAGTATACGCCTCCTAAATGGGACAATCATTCCTAATTGCTCAATTTTTGTTTGAAATTTTTTTATTAGAATTAAATATTATCACGCTTCAAATTTGCCATAAATTTATCAAATATAATTATAAATAATTGTTTTCCAGGACTTTAATTCGAGTTAGAGTATTTAAAGCTTGTGTGTGAGATATTATTGATCTCTTTTATCATTAAATGCATCTATATAAATTATCTTTTGAGCTTGTGGTTCTAATTATCTTTTGTGAGGATTTAGATAATGACACATTTGTATATTATTTCTAACTTCTTAGTTCATTCCCCTAATGTTGAGAGAATTGTCCAAACAAATTGAAAATCAGCAAATCGCTTTATAAAATATATAAAGATTCAAATTACTTATTTTTCTCAGCACTCTTTACTTTCCATCTCAGTGCATTGTGATGGATCAATTTTACATTTACTGCATTATCATAATAATTAGATGGAAAATTTAGGCTTTGACCATAAACTAATTATAACAGGGAGAATTATGATGTTAGTATGATGTGTTATTCCTTAAATAGAAATTTGAAGTATTATACTCTCAATTAAATTAATTAAATGCATTTAACAATTAATACTATTAAACCCCAACTAAAACTTATGTTGAGATAGGTTTCACTAGTATTAGCAAAACACACTGTCTTGATTGTACAATCTAAAAATTATACTCATATTTTAAAATTTAAGCAGTAATTTCGTAAACTAGAAGTTGCAAATATCATGTAAACATCTAGTAGATGTATCAAATTTATTAAATACAAATAATATTTTAGATGATCAACATGGAGAATGATGGAGCCCACATATCAATTTAATTAATTTTCATAAAAATATTGAGAATTAAGTTCCTATTTTAACTAGAGACAATCAACGACAAATTTTCAATAAAAATAACAAACATTGTATAGAAATTCTTTGGATTGAAGAATCTTCTAGTTCTCCATTGAATGTTTGAATTCTCTATTTTGTATTATTATTAATTCAGTAATGATCGAACTAGTCATGCCAAGCAATAATATATTCATTAATTAAACTTCTGGTTTAATACAATGTTTGTCATTTGAATATTATTTAATCAAAAAAAAGAAATTTTTAATTTTTGAAAATATGATTAACAACATGATATAATCATATAATAATCAATGTCCACATGAAATGATTTGTATATTTTCCTTCAGAATAAACACAAATTCATAACTTACACATAATATATTTTTTGAGACGTACTATTTTGAGAGCACATTGTATTTTACTATTAGTTTTTTAATAGTAATAGATCAATACTAGTTTGGAATATTGAAAACTATAATTCATGATATTCAGGAGTAAATAATATTTTTTGAATATCAATTATAATGTTGTGTTACTTCAGAAGCAACAACAAACTATTATTTAGAAACATTAGCTCTTTAGGAGCCATGTATTATTTATAGAGTCGTGCTTCTTAAAAACCAACAACAATTAAGAACGAATCTTATTCAAAAATAATAATTTATTGTTGAATAGAAGAAATTTATTCCTTGAAATAATTTAATAGAAATCTTAGGTAGTAACATAATCTTCAGTGTAATAACGCAATTTATATGAAGTTA